AAAGTATGAGAGACAGAGTCTGGCCATCCTGGCTTCCAAGGAGCACTCTGGCTGTATTTCTTTTAGCACAAATCGGTTTCTTGTTCGGAAGTCCATGGTACTTTGAAATATTCTAGGGATTTAGTTAAACTTTTAACTATAGCAACTGTTCTTAAGATATCTATTCGATTTTCATTTAATTTTGTTGTTGTTGTTATGTGCCGTGGAGTCAGTTCTGACCCTGTACAGGGTTTCCGAGGCTGTAAATCTTTATGAGAGCAGAAAGCCTCACCTTTCTCCCACGGAACAGCTGGGAGTTTCGAACTGCTGACCTTGAGGTTCGCAGCCCGATTCGTAACCACTACGCTACCAGAGCTTTACAATGAGGTTAAAACCTTCTCAATGCCCACATTTCTCAGTGCCCCATTTCTGTATCTACTTTTGGATGCTGTTTGTTATTAACAAGGTTATGTGGCGCTTTTAAATTTTATCTTTGTGGTTCCTGTTGAGAATCTGCAACAGCTGAAAAGACAACAATTTAGCAATTTCTCCTCGTACAGTTCAGTCACACTGGTTGTGAGTTCTACAAACCCTTCCTGCCTCCTTTTCTGGTAGCGCATTGATTAAGCGCTCCATTGCTAATCGAAAGGTTACCGGTTCAAACCCACCTGGTGGCACTATGGGAGAATGACGTGGTGATGTGCTTCTGTAAAGATGAAAAGACCAAAAATAAATAAATAAAATAACCATAAATAAATAAAGTTGGTTCCGACTCATACGAACCTTATGGGATAGGGTAGAAACTGTCCCATGGGGTTCCTAAGCTGTAATCTTTGCAGACAGTGAACCATGGTGGGGTGATGGGTTAAACGCTCAGCTGCTGACTGAAAGGTCGGGGTTCAAACCCATCAACTGCTCCGAAGGAACAGTACAGATTTACAACCTTGAAAATGCTGCGGCGTAGTACTACTTTGTCCTTGTTGTGAAGTGCCATCGAGTTGATTCCGACCCATAGCGACCCTGTATAGGGTTTGCAAGGATCAGCTGGTGAGCTTGAACCGCCGACCTTGCAGTTCAAACGGCTTTGCAGTCTGGTGCATTAACCCCCAGCACCACACTTTGTCCTATAGGGTTGCTAATGAGTCGGGACCAACTTATCAGTGGCTTTGTGTTTTGGTCATTTTGTAGGAGAGTTGGCAGGTGTTTTCTGGTGTGGAGTGGCTGGTAGGCTCAAACTGTGGACCTTTTGATTAACAGCTGAGGGCGTAAGCTCACTGCCAGGTAGAGAACAGTTTCGGAACCCCAACACGGGAGTTCTGCTCTGTCTGAAGGAAGACAGGGAGGGACAAGTGAACTTGGGAAGGAGCCAGTTGTGTCTTCAAGTCTGAAGTCAGGAACACCGCACTTTAGGGGCTGTGAGAGGGATGGACCCCAGCCCTTGTGGGTCTGCATGTCCTCGGGCGCTGGGAGTCAGGACTTGGGGGTCACTATACGTGGATCGGGAAGGGCAGACGACTCCCTATGGGACCACTTTCTGCAAGCTCCAGGAACAAGCAGATGGCGCATGTCCTTGTCTGCTGGTGGCTCCACCGTGAGGCCGTTTTCCTGCTTGGGGCTCACTCGGGAGAAACGGCAGACTGTGGCCTAAGACCCAGGGTCAGGCGGATGGGTTTGCTGGACACATCGTCAGCCGGCCGCCTGAGACCGGGAAGGAGACAGCCAGGGAGGCTCCATGCAGGGATGGTCCCGGGGAAGGGGACAGTGTTCTAGAAAGTTCTCCCCTTGCCTTCTCAGTACCGTCCCAGAAGGTTCTCCGCTTACCTCCTCAGTGCCGTTCTGGAAAGTTCTGAGCTCACTTCCTCAGCACCATTCCAGAAGGTTCTCCACTCTTCTCCTCAGGACTGTTCTGGAAGGCTCACCTCCTCAACACCGTTTGGCAAAGTTCTCCATTTCCTTCTTAGCACTGTTACCGCCTCAGCACTTTTCCAGAAGATTCTATCCTGACTCCTCAGTACCTGTCTGGAAGATTCTGGGCTCACCTCCTCAGTCCTCAACACTGTTCCAGAAGGTTCTCCACTCATCTCCTCAGCACTGTTCTGGAACTTTCTGGGCTCATCTCCATAGCACCATTCCGGAGGGTTCTCCACACGCCTCCTCAGCATTGTTCGGGAATTTCTACTCTTGTCTCCTTAGTAATGTTCTGCAAAGTTCTCCTCTCGCCTCCTCAGCACCATTCCGGGAGGTTGTCTGTTCATGTTCTCGAAGTTTCTGGGCTTGCCTCCTCAATACCATTCCGGAAAATTCTCCATTCACCTCCTGAGCGCCATTCTGGAAGGTTCTGTCCTGCCTCCTCAGCACCATTTCTGGAAGGTTCTGGGTTTGCCTCCTCAGCACTGTTCCAGAAGGTTCTTCACTCACCTCCTCAGTACCGTTCAGGAATTTCTCCGCTTGCCTCCTCAGCACCGTTCTGGAAGGTTCTCTGCTCACCATCTCAGCACCCTTCCAGAAACTTCTCTGCTCATCTTCTCAGCACTGTTCTGGAAAGTTCTAAGATCTAACATTGCGTTAGATTACACTGAGGAGAGTGAAGACATCATATTACCCTAGTTGAAAAGAGATGCTCTGACCTGTCTTTTCCTTTTTGGGGGGTACTGTGGTCTCTGTCTCTGCTCACTTCTCTCTCTTTCTATCTCATGTAATATAATGTAATCACTCGTTTGTCAGATTGTCATACTTGGTAGCTTTGATGTTGGGTTGCTATGATGCTGGGAGAAGGAGAGTTGGGCCCCTTGTGAATGGCTGGCCACTGAGAACCCTATGATACTATCTATACTGCTACAAAATGATCACTGTAGTGCAGAAGATGAGCCCGTCTGGACGGAGGTTGTTGGTGTTAGGTGCCATTACTCAGTTCCAACTCACAGCAACCCGATGCACAATAGAACGAAACACCACCCGGTCCTGCGCCAACCTCACAATTGTTGGTACACTTGAGCCCATTGCTGCTGCCACTGTGACAATCCATCTCGTTGGGGGTCTTCCTCTTTTTTGCTGACCCTCCACCTTACCACGCACGATGTCCTTCTCCAGGGACTGGTCCCTCCTGATACT